CAAAGGTAAAAAATAATTTTTTATTTTTTATTTTTTAGTTGGCGACTAAATAGTTTTAGTAGCCAAAACTCAATATATGGCAATCAAAATTATATTTTTGTTGCTAATTCTGGCATTTTTAGCGACTAAATTTTTTTCAGTCGCCAATAACCAATATACCCCTTCTAAAAAAATTAGTAGCTAAATATTTTACTTTTGCCGACTAAAAATATTTTTGTCGCCAATTCCATAAATTTTGGCGACTAAATTTTTTTAGTCGCCAATTTTGATCACCAAAGGTACATTTTGTTGTAGTGACACTATTAAAAATTCAATGATAAAATTAAAATAACTATAATTCAATAAATCATTTGAAATAAGTACAGATCATGAATTGAGAAGGGTTCGATTTGATCTACAGGGGGTTGAGGGTAGTGAATTGAGAAGGGTTCGATTTGATCTACTGGGGGCTGAGGGTGGCGTGGGTCTTGAAAAGAGTAAATTGTAGATATATCTTCTAAAAGTTATTTAAAATATAAATTGTTCTTTGTAATTTTAAAAATTAGATTTCATTCTTTTAACTTTTTAATTGTATAACAAATGATTTTTTTTATTAATAAATTATCAATTCAATTAACTCTTTTTAATGATATTATAAATATATTTCAATTAATAATTTATATATTTTTATCATTATATAGAAAAGTGGTTATGAATTTCATTTTTTCTTTTAATTTTATTAAATAAAAAATTCTGATAATAAAGTATTTGCAATTTTTAGAACCACAAGAAACAATTTATATCTACCTACTATTTACATTAATTTTGATCATTTTAATCTTATTAAAATAAAGATTAGTCTAATTATGTACAAAAAAAAATATGAAGCTAATTGTATTTATTTACCCTTATTATTAATTAGGGTAAATTACAAATACACTCTTGAAGTTTGCTTAAAGTGTGCATTGTCCTTTGTGCTGTGAAAACTTGTAAATATCACCTTCTCAAAAAAAATTATTTAACAGAAGTAATTTAAAAATGAAATTCTTAACTGCTCTCCTCTACATTAATAAAATAACTTAAATTATTAATTGAAATAAATTTTTAACATCATTAAAAATTGATAGTCGATTTGATAATTTATTAATAAAATTCGTTATTTATGAGGAAATTAAAAATTTTAAGAAGCGAGAAGTAATTTTTAAAATTACAAGAGATAAATCATATTTTACGCAAACCTAATAGTGTAGCAATTATCCTATTATTCAAAAATTTCATGTTAAAAGTTTGTCTAATTAATAATAAGAGACTGAATGAATAAATGACACTTATAATGCGATAATGAATAAACTATAATATTTTCTGTTGATAATGACAGAAGTACCCTAATAATTAATACGATAATGAGAGATGTATTCACAGCTAAGGTCGTGTAAAATATCGCTTAATCTGTTAAAATCATATCGATCTGTATTAATTCGTACCACTCTATCCACTAACTACGGTTTAAACTTTAAAATTTATAATTCGTCTTCGAAATTATTTCGCTCTGCTGTAGTTAATACATATATATTTTTTAATTTATAATGAAATATTAAAATAAAAATGAGTAAGAGAGATTTAAGATATAAAATTTATTATAAATTAGTAATTATATATATATATATAATATTATGTAAAATTAATTTGTGTTATATATATAAATATTATGTAAATTAATATTATATATTATGCAAAGACTTGATAATTTGTTAAAATATTTTTTAATTTATCAATCTACTCAAAATTATTTAAATCACAATTTACTAATCTACTATTTAATTATTAATTTTAATTTCAAATCGTCCAAACTGCAACCCCGACACTTTAACTCACAGCCACGAGGAGGAGAAAACCATGACAACCACGAGGCTCATGCCTTGTGACTGAATAGATTTATTGGTTTATCTACTCAAAATTATTTAAATCACAATTTACTAATCTACTATTTAATTATTAATTTTAATTTCAAACCGTCCAAACTGCAACCCCGACACTTTAACTCACAGCCACGAGGAAGAGAAAACCATGACAACCACGAGGCTCATGCCTTGTGACTGAATAGATTTATTGGTTTATCCCCCCCCCCAACGAGGCTCATGCCATAATTATACTAACTTTCATTTTGGTAATGTTAAATGAACTGGAATTAATGCAAAGTGTGAAAATATAAAGATAAATAACGTAAAATATATATTTTCATGCAAAAAATACGTAAAATATATATTTTGTGTAAAAAAGTGACAACATCATTTCTTTTATTATCTATATAGTTAACAAGTTATTTTAAAGTTATATGAATTAAAATCTTAAATGAGCTCAATATAACTATATCAAAATTACGAAAATTACTATATTTTATTTGAAATATGGAGAAATGTCAATATAATTTACTTCATTTTCAACGGAAAAATTGCAGATCAAAGAGCTACAAATAATTGCAAAAACATGGGAATATGATGCAAATACACATAACGTGAAATCTAAAATAAATAAATAAATAAAATTGCTAAAACATGGGAATATGATTTTTTATTTATTTATTTATTTATTGGATAAGTTGGTGTGGCACTTCAATTTTATTGTTATAAGTTTCTGAATAGGACCGATTACTGATATTTATCTTTCAATAAATAATATAGAATAATATTTCAAAACGAATCAATCCTTTATGGGGTTTGATTTTGAAATGCGTTAAAAGTAGAGTATAGTATTCCACTGATCTAACGTGGACATATTGGCAACCACTGATCTAACGTGGCGTCCACGAGGTACAAAAGAATTACAAAAATGTCACTTTAAAAAATTTATGGATAAGTTATAAGAACTTGTTTGGAATGTCTTAAATAAATGTATTTTTTAATTTTTGGATTAAAAAGTTGAAAAAAAAAATGATTGTTTGAGATAACTTTTTGATTTTTTATAAAAAAAAATATGTATTAAAAAAATTATATAATTTAATGTATTGGAGAAGGGAGAGAAGAATAGACTGTACGGTGGCAGAGTAGTGGGCAGAGGGTCTGAATAGGATATGCTTGCCTCCTTTTCGGGTATTGAATTGGACAGTGATGTTTGGCTCGTGGAGGCCCACCATGGGTCTTGTTTTGGTAATCGGAACCGTTCAATGTGTAGAACTCATCGAGTACTATATTTTTGTAAAAAAGTACGTTGATCGGATATCGATAGCTATCTGATCGGATTAGTTTTTTTGTCAATCCTTAACTATAACGCCATCCATTTTTTTTTATACAAACCTGATTTGGTCATGTAATTATCGATATCCAATCAACGCAATTTTTTATAAGCATATAGTACTCAACAAGTTTTACATATTCAACGGTTCAGATTATCAAAACGGAATCTGTGATGAGCCCCCACGGGCCGAACAACACCATCTTTAAGCTTGCCTCCACCTGTGTAATTTGTTCTTACCAAAGCCAGGTAAGGCAACTCACGTCAGAGTGAGTTGTACATTTTTTTGTATAAAATTAATTTTTTTATAATTTTTTTTGATGAATAGTGATAATTTTTTAACATTTTTAATAATTGTTTGACTTTTTATCTTTTTTAAAAATACCAAACCAAGCCGAAGTATATGTCAAAAAAAATTGTGTAAGCAATACATACTTTTTAATTAGTATAGAATAATAAAGCCTACTATTTTGCATGAGATAATTTTTTTTTAAATATACAAGATCAACCTTTTTGACTCAATGATATTTTGCCAATGTTTGGGAAGTAGGGTTTGAGAAATTTTTTTTTTTGGGGTTAAAATAGTCATAAAAAAATAAAATAGGTTTTTTAGCTTAATAAGACAAAATATCGCATTCAACTCATAATCATTACATTTTTTTCTCACAAAAAAGTCAAAAAAAATCAAAAAAAGCCAAAAACTCTTTCCAAATTAAGATTTTTAGTCCCAGACTAAAATAACCAAAAAAGTCAAAAAAACAAAAATAAACTCACTTCCCAAACGAAGCCTTTGTATATTGTTCAGACACTTAAGCATTGTTTGGTTTGTTTTTGAAAAGTAAATTTTGGAGAAAATTTTCTAAAATTTTATTTGGTTTAGGCTCTATTTGGAAAGAGAGGTTTGGAGCTTTTTTCGCTAAAATATCTACAAAAAACAAAAAAGGATTTTTAGCTCAATAAGACAAAACATCACATTCAACCCATAATCATTACATTCCTTCTCTCACAAAAAAGCCAAAAAAGCCAAAAGCTCTTCCCAAACCAAACTGTTTAGTCCCAGGCTAAAATAACCAAAAAAATCAAAAGCCGACCCACTTCCCAAACGAAGCCTTAGTGATTTTGAAAAAAAAAAAATTTCAAATTCACTTTATATCTCCTATATATCAATCAATCACTTAATCTCTCATCTCTTCTTCTCAATCACTTTTTCTCTCAAACACATCTACTCAACTACAAAAAAATATCAAATTATTCTAAACTCTCATACTCCAAAACTATTTCCAAAATATATAACCAAACAAACTAAAAAAGTTGGAGCAATTCTGAGTCATTAAGGCATCGTTTGGCAATAGGCCGGTTTAGTCAAAAAGTCAAAAAGTTACTAAAAATGTCAAAAAGTCAACAACTCATACCAAAAAGTCAAAGATTCTCTTTTCTCTCTATTTTTTACACATCTTTTCGTTAAAAGCTAAAATGTCATCTCAAACATACTAGTTTTTTTTAGCTCATATTTTAACCAAATAGTCAAAAAGTTACTAAATTAGTCTGTTTCCAAACGAGGCCTAATCATGAAAGCTGTACAGAAAACTATATGAAATTATTACTGAAACTAGAGTCCCACGTGTCCTCAATCTTGGACCCGACATTAACTTTTCTTTTTTCTTTTTTGGAACCCAATCACTTTTTCTAATTGTTACTGAAATTTGTATAAGTTACAACCAACCAACCTTGGAATAGTCACAACACAAAGTCTTGTTGCAAATTAACAAAAACCAGACCTAGCTGTGAAGATGGAAGTTAAACTCATTTCCAAAGAAATTATTAAACCATCTTCATCAACACCTCCTCACCTACAAACCTTGAGACTGTGTGTCCTAGACCAAAATGGTGGCCTAGCTCATGTGCCAATCATCTTATACTATCCCAAGAGGCATGCAAATTTCAACATCAATGAGAAACTGATTAATCAACTCAAAGACTCGCTCTCGGAAACACTGACTCTCTTCTACCCTCTTGCCGGAAGAGTCAAAGACGACGGCCTCTCCATCGACTGCAACGATGAGGGCATCTTGTTCTCAACGACCCGTGTCAACTGTGACATGGCCGAGCTGCTTACTGCACAACCACCCGATCTTCTTTCTTTACCGCGACTTCTTCCATATTATGTTTTCGTTGATCCACGCGATAAGGTAGTTCAAGTTGCTATTCAACTCAACATATTTGCTTGTGGTGGGTTTGTGATCTCAGGACTCTTTATGCACAAGATCATAGATGGAGCAACCTTGGGTACCTTCCTTAAATGTTGGGCCTCCAATTCCATTGCAAGATCAGGAATATCAAGAAGCAGCCATAGTCTTACACCAACAACATCAGCATCATCATCGACAGTAGCAACATCAGAAGCAATATTAATGTACCCAGGGGCGTCAATCTTCTCTTCGAAACAACCTTTGCCTGATAGTCTCTCAACTTTTTCTGAACGGATGTTGCTTAGGGAGGGAAAGGGTATCATGCAGAGATTTGTGTTCGACTCTGAGGCTATATCCACTCTCAAAGCTAAAGCGACTAGTGGAAGGGTGCCTAACCCAACTCGTGTCGAAGTAATATCAGCCTTCATTTGGAAACATGCTGAAATAATAATTGAAGAAAGTGTGAGAAGATAGAGATGAGAGGATAGAGAGAGAGAGAGAGGCACAAATGTTTCTGTTAATTGTACATTTATTACATAGAGAAGGCACTCTATTTATAGAGGATGCCTTGGATGATTACCCACCGAAAGGTGCTAACACTAACAATTAAATATACAAGACCCACCGAAAGGTGCTAACACTAACAATTAAATATACAAGACCCACCGAAAGGTGCTAACACTAACAATTAAATATACAAGACCCACCGAAAGGTGCTAACACTAACAATTAAATATACAAGACCCACCGAAAGGTGCTAACACTAACAATTAAATATACAAGACCCACCGAAAGGTGCTAACACTAACAATTAAATATACAAGACCCACCGAAAGGTGCTAACACTAACAATTAAATATACAAGACCCACCGAAAGGTGCTAACACTAACAATTAAATATACAAGACCCACCGAAAGGTGCTAACACTAACAATTAAATATACAAGACCCACCGAAAGGTGCTAACACTAACAATTAAATATACAAGACCCACCGAAAGGTGCTAACACTAACAATTAAATATACAAGACCCACCGAAAGGTGCTAACACTAACAATTAAATATACAAGACCCACCGAAAGGTGCTAACACTAACAATTAAATATACAAGACCCACCGAAAGGTGCTAACACTAACAATTAAATATACAAGACCCACCGAAAGGTGCTAACACTAACAATTAAATATACAAGACCCACCGAAAGGTGCTAACACTAACAATTAAATATACAAGACCCACCGAAAGGTGCTAACACTAACAATTAAATATACAAGACCCACCGAAAGGTGCTAACACTAACAATTAAATATACAAGACCCACCGAAAGGTGCTAACACTAACAATTAAATATACAAGACCCACCGAAAGGTGCTAACACTAACAATTAAATATACAAGACCCACCGAAAGGTGCTAACACTAACAATTAAATATACAAGACCCACCGAAAGGTGCTAACACTAACAATTAAATATACAAGACCCACCGAAAGGTGCTAACACTAACAATTAAATATACAAGACCCACCGAAAGGTGCTAACACTAACAATTAAATATACAAGACCCACCGAAAGGTGCTAACACTAACAATTAAATATACAAGACCCACCGAAAGGTGCTAACACTAACAATATATTAAATAAAAATTATAAATTACGAGGTTAAAATAATCTTTTGAACATTTATCATTATCCAGTCCGTCCAACCAAACATTAGATTCACTAAAAATAGTTCAATCCAGACATCTAATCACATGACTAAACAAACATAAGATACAAATTCAGTACAACCAAATAGTTCGGGGACAATGTATCGCAGGACTAACATTCTGATGGATTACAATCCGCCCTTATCATGTTTGTTCAAACAAACACATCGTTTGGGGATGACCCTCACACCCACAAAGTAGTCCAAACTATCTAAATATATGTAAGGTCACTCATATATGTATGAGATTCACATCATGTAATTCAGATTTGTAAAAATCTTATAGTGGTATTGTGAGAATAGTTCTCAATCACCACTCATCAAAGATATACTTGGCACTCCCATTTATCATTGATTGTGTGTCGTACTAAGCACTCTCTCGGACTATGAGTTGTGTCTTCATTGGCAGACGCAGGGGGTGGTTAGAAGGGCCCATCGCCCCTGCATCCATCTACAAATCTTCAATTACTATATGTGAATTTGTTATTAATCTATAAGTGATAAAGAGTTGGCTCCTTCACACGTTTCAATTTTGTTAATTTGTTTGAAGCATTGAGAGTCATGCTATAATACAGTATATATATATATATATATATGTAATATATGATTTCAATTAATGTAAGTTATGAATTATTGTGGTGTTTAGTTATAGGCCATTATGGTGATGGAGCTAACAAATTATAAAAGAGAGATTTGATCAAAACCTCCTCAATAATAAAATCTCTTCCATGTGTGATAAGAGATATCTCTCTTTTAGTGAAGGCTGCTCAGTTTCAGTCCAACCGGAATGATGCCCAACTTCAGCCAATCATATATTTCCCATCCGGACTCGGCTTTAGGAGATTCTTAGGTGAAAAATGAAGCCCCGGAAGTAAGTTTTCCAACGGTGGTGGCCTCATAGCTTAAATCCAAGTGCATAAACAGATAAGCCTGATTTAGCGAGGACCATTCGACTCTCTCTTAGCGATTCATACCCAACTTCTTCCGCAGCTAGGTTTCTTCCCTCTTCTCCTCTTTTCTTCAACTCCAAACCCCTAAACAAGGTGTTTTGAAAGATTTTTCAAAGATTTCAACTCTCTTTCATTCATTTCCACTTTGTCCTTACTCGGTTTACCAAAAAGCGCAACATTTGACAAAATTTGAGCCTCGGAACATCGTAGAAACTTTATTTCAAAAATGTTTTGAAAGAGAGGGTTTTAAGGTCTAAAAACCATTCAAAATAGCTTTGGTCCAAAATGGAGTGTAAGGTTGGGATTTGACTCTCCTCTTGCCGAAGAAATCGAACTTTGCTCTGCATAGCCTGCATCACTAACTAAACCATCAGTAACGCCCAAGTCTAAAGGATGGTCAAAAATGAGGTGTCTACAGCGCGTGACCAAGCTCAGTAGTGGCAGCCTGAAGATTTGTTCTGTGTCGAGAAGTTAAATGGTTAAGTTTGCAAATTATGTATAAGTTTTCTACTTTCTTTATTTAGTTTGGACAAGTTTTGGTATAATCGTTCTTGGGCTAAGTCCTAGTTTGACTTTGTGTACATGTGATGGTGACGTAAGACTTTGTTAATATGACGTCATGTATGTGAGTTATAAGTTTAAAATTTTTGTCCCATGTATGTCTGCACAACTCTATGGACTATATACGTTTTATATATCTGCTTCTGCTGCCCCTTATTATGTGATGATTTGTTCAGAGGCCTTTGGTAACCCCAAGATTACTAACTGGTTACGACGCTAAATCTATAAGGGCGGGTTGGGGTCGTACAGAGGCATTTGCATATTTTAAAACAATAGGGAGGTAAAGTGCTCAAAGGCTATACCATAGGGAGGTAAAGTGAATTTTGCCCTAATTTTTATTGCCTAAAGAAATGTTGGTGGATTATGAAGAAGGCTATTGTGCAATTTTTCTAAATTTCATGAAAAAGGGAAATTATTGAGGGCGCTGAACTCCATGTTTATTGTGCTTATTCTAAAGAAAGATGAACCAATGACACTTCCAGATTTTAGTCCTATTAGTCTTATGAGTAGCCTTTATAAGATCCTTATGAAGGTATTGGCCTATAGAATTAAAAAAGCCCTAACCTCCATTATTAATGAGGTTCAAATAGCCTTTGTGGGGGAAGAAATATTCAAGATGGGGTCCTCATAAAGTTATTAACTATTGGAAGACAAGAAGAGGGAAAGGTTTGGTGCTAAAGTTGGATTTTGAGAAGGCTTACGATAGTTTAAATTAGAACTTTCTGTTTGCTTCTATGGAAAGGTTTGGATTCAAGGAAAAAATGGATTGGGTGGATAAAAGAATGCGTGACTACAACCTCTATTTCTGTATTAGTTAATGGTTCTCTGACTAAAGATTTTATACCAGATAAAGAGTTAAGGCAAGGTGACCCTTTGTTGCCATTTCTTTTCATTATCAGGGCTGAAGTTCTTAATTTGATGTTCAAGAGAGCAAAAAAACCTAGGTTTAATCAAAGGAGCGAAGATTGGGAATAATGGGATGAATCTAACCGATCTTCAATTTGCGGACGATACCATCATCTTCTATCAAGCTGATTGGGGCAAGGTTGTAAACATCAAGAGGCTATTGCGTTGCTTTAAGCTTATTTCAGGATTAAAGATCAACTTTCATACGAGTATAGTGGGAGGAGTTAGGGTGGATGATAGTCTTTTGGATGATTTTTCTTTAGTTTCAAATTGCAAAGCTTATAAATTCCCAGTGAAATATCGAGGCCTCCCTTTGGAGGCAAATCCTAGGCTGAAAAAGACTTGGCAACCAGTGTTGCAAAAACTTAAATCTAAGTTGGCTTCATGGAAAAGAAAGTTCTTGTCATTCGGGGGTAGACTCACATTTGTCAAATCTGTGCTAAGTGCTTTGCCAATTTATTATTTTTTGATTTGCAGGATGCTGGTGGCAGTAATTGATAAAATTCGGAGTGGTTTTTTGTGGCGAGACAACGATGTTGAGAAGAAGCTACATTTGGTAAAGTGGGAGAAGATGACTAAAGGGAAGGAGTTTGGAGGGTTAGGCCTTAGAAACATTAGAGTGATGAATGATGCTTTCATTTGAAGTGGTGGTGGAGGTTCGGGAGGGAAGACAAGGCTCGGGAAAGAGAGAGTTTTTGGAGGAGTTTGATTTATGAGATTTATGGAATGGACGGTCTATGTTGGTTCCATTTTTTGACTTCAGAGTCACATACCTCAAGAATTTGGAAGGATATTTTGATGTTACATGATAAGAGCCCTCGGATTTTTGGATTATTCATAGAAAATATTTACTTATGTTTGGGTGATGGTAGAAGGATGTACTTTTAGAAAAATGAGTGGGTTAGGATATCATACCCCAAATCCGGGCATGACTAGTCGTGGCCCACAGGAACTCAGCCCAAGGCATACGTAAGTCTAAACATGAATCCATAATCACAAAGAATAAATGTGATGATAGCCCAGAAATAAATAAATCAAAACCCACCAGTGACAAGTCACAAGTATAAATGATAAAACCAGCCATAACCAACTTCCAAAAATATATACTAAATGGAACACAAATCGCTCATAAAATAAAATAATTCTAAATAAAATCCCACCACAATGTTTGCACAAAACCGACATAACAAGCTAAAACAAAATAATGAATGTACTAGAGATCCATACAATTGAGTCTCCGCTACGTCATGAGTCCACTCTAAGTCCTTCTAACACCTGGAAGTGATAAACAACTAAGTCAGCTGATTGCTCAGTGAGTAGCAACATGGATAGTATATACAGTTTTGAAAATAGGGATCAATTCCAAAATAAGATATATATCACAGAAACTAGATTGTCATATAGTTTGGTAAAGACAATCTGTTTAAAAAAGAAGGTTCCACAATTCAATAGTTAAAATACTCATGTCTCTCTAAAACATGATAAATGACATTTTTCACTTAAAACAGATTACAAAATGAACATCAATAATTTTCTGGGTACCAATAAAAAAACAAATAATATGCCACACAATTCTCAAGACTATAAGCCCCGTTGGATCCAATACCGAACTAAGAGTCATCCTCAGGGTGACAACCTGGGCCTTTTCTCTAAGACGATCCGATTGAAGGTCACCTAGCTTAACCTTGGTCTTTTCCTTACAATCGTTGAGCACTAGAGTCATCACGGCCCAACCCGGATTTGTTCCCTAGTGGCCAGAGTATAGTTTTGATAATTTGAACGCATATAGTTTTGTATGTTTTTTTACGTTTTTACCCAAAGAGTCATCAAATTATACCCAAAGAGAACGACACTCACGAATTTACTGTTTAAAACCAGTTTTCTGGACAGATTTGAACGCATCAGTTTATATGGATTTTGACTCTCAAAAATTATGTAAAAATTTAGATATGCAATTCAATATGTAATTGATCTATTGTAAAAATTTCAGTTCAAAATTCATTCGTTTGATATGGTTTTATGATTTCTAAAGTTTGCTGGCAGATTAATATTCTTAGGAACAACATTATGAATTCAATTAAAACTTCTAGAATATTATCCCAGTCAGCCAATCCATTCATTTTTCTTCCGTTTTGTATGTTTTTGTACATTTTTACCCAAAGAGTCATCAATTTATACCCAAATAGAACGACACTCACGAATTTACTGTTTAAAACCAGTTTTCTGGACAGATTTGAACGCATCAGTTTATATGGATTTTGATTCTCAAAAATTATGTAAAAATTTAGATATGCAATTCAATATGTAATTGATCTATTGTAAAAATTTCAGTTCAAAATTCATTCGTTTGATATGGTTTTATGATTTCTAAAGTTTGCTGGCAGATTAATATTCTTAGGAACAACATTATGAATTCAATTAAAACTTCTAGAATATTATCCCAGTCAGCCAATCCATTCATTTTTCTTCCACCAACTCACAACACCCACAAGCACCATAACTATGTAAACAACATAGTATAATAGAACAAGAATAGATTGATTAATACCTTAGAGAGTTGTTGAGACACAATGGTGCTTTCTCTCCCTCTCTCTTTTCTATCTCTTGCTCTCTCTTCCTCTCTCACGTTTCTACTGCTTCTGCTGCTATAGTGTTGATTAGGAACCCTAGGGTTGTTATATATATATATATATAAACAAAACTCTAAATAATTATCTTTTGTTTTATATTATTTTTTTTTCCTCTCACCATTAATTTAAATAAAATATAACTATTATTATATCAAAATATACTCACTAACTTGTCCCCTATTTTTTAATAAAAAAACTTACCTCCAAATTAAAGACTTTCACCATAAATTTATTTTAGGTTTTAAAATTAATTAAAAGATCCTCCAATAATATTTAATTTGCACTTTAGGATTCACCATCAAAATATTTGAGATTGTGAAATTATTATTATGTAATTATTTACTTAATTTTTATATTCGGGTGAGCGACATAATCTTTTCCCAAGACTGTATCAACTTTGCTTGAATAAGGAAGGTAATGTAGCAGATGTACGTGATAACTTCGAGTTCGATAGGAATACGATGTTCATGAGAGGACTTTTTAATGGGAGGACGATGAGGATAACAGATTGCAGCTGATGATAGTTGAAGCTGCAGCAATTGGGGAGAGAAGTTCGGATTCCATAACATGGTCAGCTGAATCTAGTGGTATTTTCTCAATCGCATCCCTTTACAAACATTATGAGATTTCCCTAGGACGAAAAGTAAAAGAGCTTAATGTTGTTTGGAGAAATGTTGCTCCCCATAGAGTAAAATTTTTTGGGTAGCTGGCGTGGTGTGGCAAAATAAAATCATCAGACAGGTTGAAAAGGTTAGGGATCATTAGCACACAAGAGATGGGACTATGTCGATTCTGTGGGGAATATATTGAGACATCTAAACATGTGCTACTCTAGCGTATGAAAGTCTGGCAAGTGTGGTCTACAATTATAAGATGGTAGGGGATGGAATAGGTGGTTCCAAACTCAATTAAGAGCCTCATTGATTGGTGGCAGAGTTGGAAGTACAGAAGATTAAAAAACAAAAAATGGTTTGGGAGGTATTACCATTTGTCGTTATGTGATCCGTTTGGAATTTGAGAAATCAATATGTTGAACGGTGCGCAATCAAATTAGGAGAAACTCACTAACTTAATTAACTTTTGGGCGATATTTTAGACCATGTTGAAATCAAGATTAAGGATGACATCAATGACTGAGTTGCTCACTTGTCAGACTCAGATTGCAGGTTATCTTGGTTGAATGGTCTACTCCTTTTTGTGTTGTTCTTTCTTGTTGTTTCTCTAATTTCCTATATCCTTTGTTTTTTTTTATTGTTATCTTAGGTTTGCCTCCTCTATTTTGCTGTTTGGAATCTCTCCAAAGAGGCTGATCAGGGCTGCTAGCTCATTTCAAGTTTGAATCTCTTCGTGCCAATCAGATTTTTGGCTGCTCTTTTCTTTTTCGCTTGTATTGTTGTTTGAACTTTGATGTTTCTTCCCATTGTTCCATCAATACAAGTTTTTATTTTTGTTGATCAAAAAACCGAATGGCTATTTATAGGCAAAAGCTTGTAGGAAAAAACTACCTAGTAACTATCCTATTCTTCCATCTTTATTATTGTCTTGTCATGTGTCTCTCCATGATCTTCCATCTCCTCCATTTCGTACTCTATGATCTCTTAACTTCTTCACTTCATGTTCCATGTTCTTCCACTTTTTCATCATCTTTTCCACATAGTTTTTTCGCACTTTGTAACCTCTTATAATCTCCAAGTGAGTAGGAGAGTGTCATGTGTCCTGCAATTATATAAATAATAACTAATAATAAAATTTGCATATTTATGGTGCCAACATTACCCCCTGCAGTCTTTAAAAATGAAGTTTACTTGAATTTTGAAGGGTTGAACCAAGCATAGGACTAATCTGAGTAACAAAGTACTTCAAATAACATCAACAAAGTGCTTCGAATAATATAATAGCATCAATAAAGTGCTTCGAATGAGTATTAAATTATGGCTACATATCTCGAATTCTATATATGTGGCTTGAAGGGATATTATATATGTGCTTCGAATCAACATCAATCCTTCAAAACAAATAAAATAATTTTATTTTACTCATACTTCAATCACCTAGAAAATTTGGACCCTTTTGAAGTAGGTTAATGTTGCTCGCACTTAGAATCATTCATGACCTCGTATTTTCAAGGAAAAACCAATATCCAAACATGATTCACCTTAATAAGCTGTTACACATGCTAACTACTAACATTATGGACTAGTAACAAGCTTTGGATGTGTTTTAGAGGATCAAAATCACCCTTTTATAAATGACCAAATTCATTATTTGAAGGTCTTGCAGCAAAACCTCAAAGGAGCAAAACTACCCTTTGAAGGTTGGAGACATTGATATAGGATGAAGGTCATCTTTCGAAAATACTTATAACAAAGTTTCAAGGGACCAAAGCCTCCCTTTGAAGGTCAAGGATGATGTTAGAGTAACAAACTTTGCTTCGAAAGTGTCACCACACAATTTAACAGGAGCTTCAAGGGAGACTTATAGAGCTTCGAATGTGGGTTTTTCAAAGGTAGCATGTGTTCTTCATGGATGCAATGCATCATACGTTATGGAACTTCATGTTTGCATGCAACCCCAAATAACATCATACACTCACAAATTCATTATAGACCAAGTTAGGAACTCTTTGCTTCGAGGGCGCTAATTGATGAGGAAAACCACTCTTTGAAGGTCGAAGATGTTGACAGAGAACCAAAATATCATCCAAAGGTGCTCACAACAATACTTCGAAAGACCAAATCCACCATTTGAAGAACTGGATTAGAATAAATTCAGCTGGGCATTTATTAATTACCATAACCAAAATTCCTCTCTTTATAAACCAATAATGACCATAAAAGTGGTTCTTTTAAACACATGTTTACTTCAACATATTCTAATGGCACCAACGCATAGATTAAAGCCTTTTGAAGTCTTTTCGGAATGCTTCGAATCTCTTTTGGAAAAGTATTAGAGTTTACTATCATGCTTATTACGAAGAAGCACATATAGAAGTCCTTTTGAAGCTACTTCGAAG